GAAGAAGAAGAAGAAGAAGAAGAAGAAAAGAAGAAAGAAAGAAGAAAGAAAGAAAGAAAGAAGAAAGAAAGAAAGAAAGAAAGAAAGAAAGAAAGAAAGAAAGAAAAGAAAGAAAAGAAGAAGAAGAAAGAAAGAAGAAAGAAAAAAGAAAGAAAGAAAGAAAGAAAGAAAGAAAGAAAGAAAGAAAGAAAGAAAGAAAGAAAGAAAGAAAGAAAGAAAGAAAGAAAGAAAGAAGAAAAGAAAGAAAGAAAGAAAGAAAGAAGAAAAGAAAAAAAAAAAAAGAGAAAGAAAAGAAAGAAAGAAAGAAAAGAAAGAAAGAAAGAAAAAGAAAAAAAAGAAAGAAAGAAAAAAGAAGAGAGAAAAGAAAGAAAAAGAAAGAAAGAAAAGAAAGAAAGAAAGAAAGAAAGAAAGAAAGAAAGAAAGAAAGAAAGAAAGAAAGAAAGAAAGAAAGAAAGAAAGAAAGAAAGAAAGAAAGAAAGAAAGAAAGAGAAAAGAAGAAAGAAAGAGAAAGAAAGAAAGAAAAAAAGAAAACAAAGAAAGAAAAAAAAATGAAGACGAGGGAGAAGAAGATGAAGAAGAAGGTAAATAATGATAAAGATGATGATAATGATGAACATGCTGATGAAACTTTATTTATTTATTAGACGGATGAAAGGGAACAGTATACGAAGAAAAAGAAGACACGTTTTTTTTGCCTGTTTTTGACGCGAGACATATTTTTCTCTATTATTCAGAAAAAAAAAATGGAAAATGAATGAACTGAAGATACCCAAAGATCGCAAACATCGGGTAAAAATTATCTTTCTGAAATTGCTCCGAGATGGACCAAGATTAAAACAATTGGTACCAGGTGAAGTTAGGGGAAGTAAAGGTGGTCAGCGTGACGTTAATCATTTCGCTCGCTGAATGTATAAGAAACAAAACTTGAGTCTAGAGTCATCTGTGCAAGGGGCCACCGGTGTAAATGATGTCTTTTATATATATATATATTTGTACTCATAAATTGTTGTGTAATACTGATGTATGATAAGGCAAATTTAGCGGAAGAAACAGCTTGGTGGAATGCTGATACGTGATAAGGCAAACTTGGGGGAAAAACCGCTTGGTGGAAAAGTGATGCATAATAAGGCAGATTTGGTGGAAGAAACAACTTGGTGGAATACTGATGCGTGATAAGGCAGACATGGTGGGTAAAAACACTTGGTGAAAAAGTGATGCATGATAAGGCAGATTTAGTAGAAGAAACGACTTCATAGAACACTGATGCGTGATAAGGCAGACTTGATGGAAGAAACGACTTGATAGAATACTGATGCGTGATAAGGCAGACATGGTGGAAGAAACAACTTGGTGGAATACTAATGCTTGATAAGGCAGACGTGGTGAAAGAAACAACTTGGTGGAATGCCAATGAATGATAAGGCAGACTTGGGGGAAGAAATGACTTGGTGGAATACTGATGCATGATAAGGCAGACTTGGTGATAGAAACAACTTTGTTGAAGAAACACATTTTTGGACTACTGATGCATGACAAGGCAGACTTGGTGATAGAAACAACTTGGTGGAAGAAACACATTTTTGGAATACTGATGCATGACAAGGCAGACTTGGTGATAGAAACAACTTTGTGGAAGAAACAAATTTTTGGAATACTGATGCATGACAAGGCAGACTTGGTGGAAGAAACAACTTTGTGGAAGAAACACATTTTTTGGAATACTGATGCACTGAAGGCAGACTTGGTGATAGAAACAACTTGGTGGAATACTGATGCATGATAAGGCAGACTATGTGGAAGAAACAGCTTGGTGGAAGAAACAACTTGGTGGAAGAAACAACTTGGTGGAATACTGATGCATGAAAAAGCAGACTAAGTGGAAGAAACAGCTTGGTGGAAGAAACGACTTGGTGGAATACTGATGCATGATAAGGCAGACTAAGTGGAAGAAACAATTTGGTGGAAGAAACTACTTGGTGGAAGAAACGACTTGGTGGAATACTGATGCATGATAAGGCAGACTAAGTGGAAGAAACAACTTGGTGGAAGAAACATCTTGGTGGAAGAAACGACTTGGTGGAATACTGATCCATGATAAGGCAGACTAAGTGGAAGAAACAGCTTGGTGGAGGAAACGACTTGGTGGAAGAAACAACTTGGTGGAATACTGATGCATGATAAGGCAGACTTGGTAGAAGAAACAAATTTGTGGAAGAAACACATTTTTGGAATACTGATGCATGACAAGGCAGACTTGGTGATAGAAACAACGTGGTGGAATACTGATGCGTGATAAGGCAGACTTGGTGATAGAAACAACTTGGTGGAATACTGATGCGTGATAAGGCAGAATTAGTGGAAGAAACTATCTAGGTGGAATACTGATGCATGATAAGACAGACTTGGGTAAAGAAACAGTTTGGTGGAATACTAATGCATGATAAGGCAGATGTGGTTAAGCCTTTGTGGGAGCGCGTGTGCAATTTGAAGCATTTCAGTCTGCTAAGAGTTATGCAGCAAGGAGTGACTAGGGGTTCTGGCCAATACTTGACGGTCAGAGGAAAGGCAAGACGGACAAATAAGCAGACAGCTAGTGGTACCACTGGTACTGGAACTCTGCTCTAGCTGCTAATGATGGGGACGAGGCGGCTATGGGAATGCCCCGAGTGATGTGTGTCGGTTCTTGAATCAACTCAACTCAGCTGTTTAGACAATGCTGTAACGGTGTAAAGTCTTATGTGAAAGATGTTTATATCAAAACTTCCCAAAGTATTGTGAGAATGTACCAGTTTCAGAACTGGTAAGTGAAACTACAACCATGCTCCTGAGAACTGAGGGATGGGGGACAGCGATTGTGAATTTTAGGAAACTAAAACATATTGGGATATAATCCTAGTGATTGTGTGAAGGGGAATAATAAAGGTGTACTGACATATTCCCTGAGATTGGAAGTTTCTAATAATACTTGACCAGAAGGTTGATCTTAAAGTACATAAATCGATCAGCTAGTTGATTAAAAAGCCAGTCGATCATACCATAGATTCATAGATCATACGATCAGTCCGAGTAATAATCGATAAAAAAAATTAACAAAATAACAAATACAACTAGATATAACAAATAAATTAAACATAAGTGGGTTCCTGGGTCCCATTATGGGAACGGAAAGGGGGTGGGAGACAAAGGAGATCTAATGCCACCCAACAAGCTTAAAGAAGAGTGCTGAGAACACAAGCCTGATAGACAAGGGTTTTTGTTTTAATTGTGAGCTTTCTGTTCTCCCTAACTGTCTTTGTCAATCTGCTCATTGTTGTTGTGGCCTTACCTATCCTGATGTTGATTTCTTGGTCCAGCGATAGTTTACTATTCACTGTGGAACCCAGATAGGTAAAATGGTCTATTGTCTTAAGCTCTTCACCGTCAATGTAGACTGTAGGTCTGTCATTGACACCTTGCACCATAACTTTTGTCTTCTTTTTGCTGACTGTTAGTCCAAATTCACAGCACGCCCCAGCAAAGGCCGAAAATAAACATTGCAGCTGAGTGGGTAGTTATTGCGGTTTCATCTGCAAACAGCAGCTCTCTGATAAGTACCTTTCTTATACTGGTTTTGGCCTTCAGCCTGCGAGCATTGTTTATATATATATATAAAACACCAAAAAAGAAATACAATTCTAGAAACGAAAAAATATGATATCAGAAATAGATATTCCCTAGTGATCACTGTTTAAATTAAAACGGAAACTAAGTGTATTGTTTTCATTTCCAGGACTCACAGAACAGGTTACAATACAATATCTCGACCTCCGTCATGAAACCAGATTCTTGTAATTTTTTAGGCACTTGTATTTCTCAAAGTCGTTCAAGTTTGTATCATTAAAATGTTACTGATTGAAATTGTATATGCGGGTATCTTGTGATCATTGTGTCTGTGTGTGTTCTGTGTAGTGATTGAGATTACAACTGGGTTGATTATGTAAGGGCAATGTTGGTTATGTTAAATAAGCAATGAGAGTAAGTTTGTAGGGTTTCTCGAGTGGTGTTGCATGGTTAGCATTCATATCTGTATAGACGCTCTTTCTTCTTCTTTTTCTTTTTCTTCTTTTTCTTCTTCTTCTCGTTCTTGTACTTGTTCTTCTCCTTCTTCTTCTTCTTCTTCTTCTTCTCTTCTTCTTCTTCTTCTTCTTCTTCTTCTTCTTCTTCTTCTTCTTCTTCTTCTTCTTCTTCTTCTTCTTCTTCTTCTTCTTCTTCTTCTTCTTCTCTTCTTCTGTTTCTTCTTCTTCTTCTCTTCTTCTTCTTCTTCTTTCTTCTTCTTCTTCTTCTTCTTCTTCTTCTTCTTCTTCTTCTTCTTCTTCTTCTTCTTCTTCTTCTTCTTCACCTTCTTCAGCTGGTGCTACTGCTGTTGCTGCTTCTGCTGTTGATTCTTTGTCTGTTTTTGTCAGCTGCTGCTACTTCCTCCTCCTTTTTCCCCTCTCTTCTTGTTCTTCTAATCTTCGTCTTCTTGTCTATCTGACTGACTGACTGACTTTCTACCCCACCAGGACATCACACAAGCGATAAACACTAGATGACACAGAGTGCCACCATGTGGATGAGGATCACCGTGGAGAGGTCACAGAAACCGCGTTCAGACAATTGGCCATATTGATGGCCTGCCTATATTGCGGCCCCTGGCAAAAGCCTTAGTGGGGCTTCAAATAACAAAAAAAATTACGTCCTAAAAAGGACGTAAGGATATTGGCATGAACTTATCTATCCTTTACTTGTTTTCTTTGTCTTTGTCATATTTTACTTCTGTCTGTGATTTTCTCCCCTCATATCGTTAGTATGATATTTTTAACAAAAAAGAATTTAAAAAAAAAAATTTAGTGAATAAAAGAACCTAAAAAAAACAAACAAACACAACAAGCAGAACAAAAAGAGCAACAAAAACAGCAACTAAAACAACAAATATAACAACAGCAGTAACAAGAACAAACAACAACCAGTGCAGTACTTACCACTGGTCGTGCGGGTATCATCAGTTCCCCAATTTCTACCTCCCCTGTATCTGCGGACAGCTGAAATCCTTTCGCTTTCACCCAGAATCTCAACTTGGAATTCTCCGCAGTAGATTCCTCCTCCCCCTTCAGAATTCTCACAATTCTCTGATATTTGTTTCGTGTCACAGTCTTTGTTTTGCCCTTGTCTCCGTAGTTTTGTATAGCCCAGTTCTGAAACGTCTGATACATGTTGGACTGCCGGATTTCTCTGAGGGTACATTTCTCCTCCATGTGCCCGTATGTCATAGCATTAGTGTCTGTGTCTTTTGGTATT